CCATTTTTGGATTAAATCATGAATGATCTTTGAGCAGCAAATCGGATTCAAAGCCAATAAATATCGCAGGCTAGCGATGACATTGAGAGTTGATTATGGTCTGGATAAGTTAATTAATGTCTACTTAATAATTTAGATAACATCTCTGGCCTAAAGAAAGACCTGCAATAGGCAGATTTACATGTAGCTCTTGGATAATGTATGTTTAAGGAGGTATACAGACTGGCTTTAAATGGAATAAAGTACGTTCTGTAATCACACATACATTTACTAATCAGTAATCCTATTGTTACTCTTAATCCTTTAAATCTCAATTTCTCAAGGAAAAGTAAGGCGATTTACGGTTTTAGACACTAACGGTGATTTGTGAAGTAAACATTAGAATGAAATCTAAGATTAATAGCAATTAGCAAGCTTGACCAATTGTATTTCTGTAATCAGAGATTAATAATTATCAACATTCGGTGTATCAATCAATCAATCACTGTTGGATTTAAAAGATAATTATAGATAGTCCTACATTACAGGTTAATCTGAACCTTAAGGTGATGATAGGTGTCAAAGCAGGATGAACTTTCTCTGTCAATGCAGGGATTGAACACCCGACCTCCAGGCCAGCGAGCCAGCATCTTACCCACTTAGCCACTGTGATCTCCCAATTATCATAAACATGTTGAACTATCTCGGCCAATGCAGGGATCTAACACCCGACCTCCAGGCTAACAAGCCAGCGTCTTACCCACTTAGCCAATTGTAATGACTTTCAAATATCCTATTTAGTGTTACTTAGGAACCACAGTGGGTAAGACGCTGGCTCGCTAGCCGGGAGGTCCCTTGTTCGATCCCTGCATTGACCGAGAAAGTTCATCAGGATTTTCCAGCATATTTCCCCCTTGTCAGTGGTGCAGGATGGAGGGCCTGACAAGGAGAGTTGTCTAGTCATTCGGATGGGATGAAAAAGCGAGGTCCCAGCTGGTACAGTAGAACATTAAGTTTTTTATATACCCAATTATTGTTCATTTCTTCAAAATAAATCTCATTTATATCTGAACATCATCAAATAATTTTACCTTTCTGTTTGAGCCATGATGTCAACCATTCCTTTTGATAATTCGGGCATCCTCTCTTGAACTTTCTCTTTGTAATCAACATCATCATCATCGTCCTCATCATCACCACCCCGTCGTTTAAAACGTCCACCTTTCTTTTTCTTTACTTTCTTCTTCTCAAGATTCTAAATAGAAATTCTCATTTAAAATTTGAACAATATATATGGAGAATGTCATGTGGGGGAGAGAGAGAAAGAGAGAGAGAGAGTTTAACATCCACTCGACACAAACTAGGTCATTTCGGGACTAACATATGGTTCAATTTTACTTCAATAATTCGCTTGCGCGTAGGGGTCTTTAGCAGTGGAAGGAAACCGGAGGACATGGAGAAAACCCACAAGGTTGGACAGACGACCCTACTCCTTGTCATGTAAAACTGTGGAATCGAAACCACGCCAGTTGATTCAATGACAGTCCTTATTATATGGCACGCTTGTGCTAACCATTCGGCCATTCACCCGCCCCATGTCATGTGGAGCTGCCAAAAAAAAGATGGCTAATGAAAATCACAACCTGTACATATGCATGTACATGTACAAACAGCAAAATAAAAGGTGAAATTGAGTGCATAAAATTTTGTCAAGCAGCTAAGTTTTATTTTAATAAAAATTTAATGTTTAATGTCTGTAAGGTATTCTCTCTATATACATGTATCTTCATGTACCAACTGTATTGCAACCTTACAAAACAAAAAAACTCAAATGTTTTATCTAGACACAGCCTTCGTTAATTACATCAGCATTGCAATTCTGGTGTAAATTTGATCTCTTGGGCAATCAAAGATAGAAAGAAATTCATTTTCATAACAGTTCCGTTTTTTGGGATTTTTTTTGTATCTGAATAGATGTACTTGTACATGTATGTAGTTAATTACATGTACAATACAGAAAACTTTAATGAAGGATCTTATTCACTATATTTATTAACTGTGCACAAAGTTTCAATCAGGGTATTTCCATTCCTATCAAGCAATGATACAATCAAACCTACATGTACATGTATTACAAAAGGTTGAATAACCTAATTAACAAAAACAAGCCAGTTAAAGATACATTATGTGGATTAGATAAAAAGCTGGCAGTTCTCACTATAAGAGTTAAAAACTAGATAATGCAAAGGGAATTTGCTGGAAATTTCAGTTAAATTGATCCACCCTAAATCGAGATTTTAGCGATTGAATTTTCGGCCTAGCCTCGATCCTCAAAACTAAAGTCATTACGATAAAAAATATAGTATCTATTATCCATTTCATGATTAAATCACGAAACGAGATTTTAGCGATTGAATTTTGGGCCTAGCCTCGATCATCATTACTAAAGTCGGTATAATAGAAAACATAGACACGATTATCCATTTTTTTTATTTAATCAGCAGCAGCAGACCAGGTTCTAATCCAGTAAATATCGCAAGCTAGTGATGACATGGAGAGTTGATTATGGTCTGGATAAGTTAATAAATGTCTAATTAATAATTAAGATAACATTTCAGGCCTAAAGAAAGCCCTGCAATTGGCAGATTTAGCTCTTGCATAATGTATCTTTAAGGAAACAATGATTATGTGTTAATCAATTACATCGCAAAAGCAACGAACATAGGTTCCCATATATAAATAGATCTCCCAAATTGGCAATTTGGCTTGTCTGCGATATCACTTCGGTGGAGTGCAGATGTTAAATAAAGCTATTTCACACATTTGGCGAGGTTTGCAAACCTTTGGGCCCTGGTGCAAGTACATGTACATGTACATGTATGCAGATGCACTGTTTGTAATTCCCTAATATAGTAATATACATCTACTGGTACCACCCTGGACCTTAAAAAAGATTTCCAACATTTTTCAACTACAGAAAAAATATTACAAGAATACATTACCTTTTCACCATCTTTTATCTGTTTTGTAACAACTGGTTCTAAATGACTGCTTGCTATATTACCCTTCTCCGCATCTTGACGCTATCAAAACAATTAACTTTTTTAGTAATCTACATGTAATACATGATGTACATGTATGGCACATATGGATTAATAAATTAAATAATGTTTTCTAGTTTTCTAATGTTTTAATTATTTAAAATGATATACCGGTACATGTAATTACTAAGGAACAGATTCCAGGAACAGATTCCATCAAAAATGACATAATCTATAGTAAATATACATGGATTAATGACAATGATCTACATGTACTGTAATAGCGAAGGAAGAGATTCGATCAAAAATAAATAAATGAATACCGATAGTCCTATCCTATAATAAATGCAAATGTGGGATCAAAAGTCGTAGAATCTGATCATTCATTTTTCTGACAATATTTAATTTTCAGCAGCTTAAAAAACTAAAATATTAAGGGTAGATAATTTCCTATTACTAGTTCAGATTTAATCACCTGAATCATCATCCCAAACTTAGGCTGCCTCTCTACAGTTAGTTCCGCCTGACAATAGGACATAACCTAATTAACCGACATTTTAATTCCTACATCGACGATTTTAGTCGAAAACATGGAGTATGCCTTTAGAAATTTTTAGAAGTTTTTATTTCTCATCTATTTTCATACTGAATGAAATTTAATATGTTTATTTAGCCATTGTGTCTATGAAAGATGTCAAATGGATTAGAGCGGAAGCACGAAATAGTCCACTAATTATTCAAAATGGACGATAAGTCCCACCCCAAAATGATCACACGAGCGTTTTTAAATGGACGTCATTTAGCGCAGTGATGTATTCTCGAGGTATGAATAAGATGCATCGCTGTGCGCAGTATGCTGAATCATGAGTGAATGAATGAATGAATGAGTAAATGAAATGGAGTTTAACTCCTACTGGTCTGCCAATGAAGACCGACATACTGGTATCTCATACAGTGTGCTACGAGAGAAATTTTGCCTGGACCCAGCTTGAATTCCAACTAACAAAGGCCCTTTTACATGTACGCCAAAGTATACGTATGGCATATCATCTGCTGAAAGTTCCGAAAATTTTAATTCATCACTATCAAATATCGAAGAGAAATTAACTATTTTCTAGCTGGTATTTCAGAGGTTCAACTTTCACAATATTGTAGCTTGCATGGAATTCAAACTCGTATAAATGTTATGAATCCTGGCTTTTATCAATCAATCAATAATTTTTTGTATTAGATTTATGTTGTGGTTTGAGGGTGAGGGGCATACTTCTTCATTAGCCCATTCCTCCGCGCAGAACAGTTAGACGTTACCCCATATTTCATTTTTCTTTGATCAAAAATATGCTCATATTGCCTACTAGTACTACATTAAGAAAATAAAACACATATAATTACTTTTTTCTTTTCCCACTCTCTAAGACAAGGCCTCACACATAATCCTGCAATTCCTGCTCCAAGAATTAGTCCTAATACAAACGCACCTGCCACCCATCCTGGATCAGCGCTGAATTCATCTTGTTCTACTTTAACAGTCAGAGGTACACAATAAGATGCTGTCGTACATGACGTCATCGTTTCCCTTTAATTTATTTCCCTAAAACACAGAAATTAACGTACACCTTTCCAAAACACCTGTAATCCAATTAGCCTTTGATCTTGCCGCTCCACTGACTTTCCGTTAGCGGCTTGCTCGTTCGCTCGCTTTGCACTTTGTTAGCCACACTTTACTATATATTAATCATAATAACAAAAAATATTGGATTCACATGTTCAGTATTTAACACTACGCATCCCTGATTTCCGTAATTTTCATCAGATAGGTGGTAACAGTTCAATAATCACTGTTGTTTTCTTGCACGCACATGTCAGCGGAAAACAGTCGCCATATTTGTTGTTGTGGTAAATAATGCCAGGTTGTTGCGAAGGACGGTTTTGAGGTTCCCGAGTTATAACGGTACGCGATTGGTTGAAAGATAAGGGGAACTAAAAACCGTATAGATTGAGGCTATACCGGGTTATTTGACAGCCAGTGCCATGAATTTTGTCGAAATCTTCTTAAATTTGTAAGTGTCTTTCAGTAATTTTCTACAAAATCATTCTGTGCTAGAAGTGATGGATATTCTTGTGTAGGAATTAAGCTTATAATGTGAACCCTGTTGTTTATATGGGTCGGTGAATTTTACTGTTAAGACTATAGTCGAGTTACAATACCGTACTACATGTATAACGAACCGTACATACAAATTAAAGGGACTGCTGCCTTAAATAAAAAAAAAAATAAAAATGGAATTTGTCATGAATATTAAGAGATACATTTTCAATTGTTATGTTTTTTATTTATTTATTGATTGTTTTTTTGATATGATTGTATAATTTTAATTAAGATCTGCATTATATGTATGACTTCTACTTCTAGCTGTCATCTATTTCAAGTATTTGTATCTGAATATTATATCCCTCAATAAGGAGGTCCTGCAAAAAATTCTGAGGATTTTCCAGCCTAGTTTTCTGTGTCAGTGCACAGTACAGGATATACATGCAATGTAGTGCCTGTCTATGAAAAAATGTCTTATTTTGTTTGGATGACATATAAAACCGAAACCAAGCTGATTCGAACCATTACTGATTCGGACCAAAACTAAAGCTGATTCGGACCACATTCTAGGCTGATTCGGACCACCATTCGGTAGCATTGTGGAAAATGTATTATATGTAGAAATGCTAAAGCTTTTTTAAATTTTTTAATCTGACTAAAATTGAATATTTACTAGTTTTCCAACCCCTCTCCCATTTAAGAAACCCCCCAAAATTTCAAAATCGATTAAGAAATAAGAATGTTATTGCACTTTTATGACCCAAAATTGATTGATGTCAGTATACACTTTTTTTTTCAAATTTGCAAAAAAAGTGACCGAAATTAATTTCTCAGCAACCATTGAAGATATACCGGTAGGCATCAAATTTTCAGGAAACATCCATCCAACCATTAACTAGTTATTGGAATTTTAAAATTTGGGCTATATAATTTATTTCCTATGATAAAGAGGTCTTTCTATGAGAAAATATGTTTACTCTCAGTGATCAGCGCCGTTTTTGCCTTGTCCTGAAAATTTTTTTTTTTTTAAAATATAAGAAATAAGCCGTAAATTACGTTTCTGAATGTCAAAAACACACTCGACACAAACTCTGTTTTCGTCTCAACATGAAAAGCGCAAAGTCGTCAATGTTAGTGTTCATACAACTACCTGAAGTCACGGAACAAAAACGACACATTTTACGGTCAGTTTTTTTGACGTTGATAAAAATAGTATGAATGGTGCCACTAGCGAGCTTTTGCATTGCTATTATATGACTAAATGAAAATTTTGTCCTATTATTAAATATATGCAAACATGTTTCAAGTACTCTCGTCATTCAAATAATGGTCCGAATGAGCCTTATGGTCCAAATCAGCCAAGAATGTGGTCCGAATCAGCCATGGTTCGAATCAGCCGATTACCATAAAACCATGCATGGGCTACCTGTGTAATCACTGGTGCATAGCAGAGCAGACTGCATTAGATCAGTTCCCTGCATTGGCCGAGAAAGTTCATCCTGATTTTCCGACGTGGTTTTCCTTTTGTCACTGGTGCAGAACGGAGGGCCTGACAAGGACAACTGTCTAGTCCTTCGGATGATACGAAAACCTGAGGTCCCGTGTATACATTAGAATGCACGTAAAAGATCCTTGGCAGTTGGAATTCGATATAAGAGTAGGCGATAGTGCCGCTGCCCGGGCAAAATTTCCCTCATAGCACACTGTATGGCGTATGCCCATCTTCATTAGCCCAATATATAGGAGCAGAACAGTAGGACGTTAAACCCCATTTCATTTCATTAGATCAGTTGGTGTAGAAAAATAGACTGTAACACATCATTGCATTTTATTATTATTTACTTCATCACCCACTGAATTGTTTCCCCTGTTCTTGTTTTATTGTCTACATCATTTTCTGTTGTTGTTTTTTTTAGATAAAATGTCGTAATAAGATGGTAAAGATGAAGATATTGTTAATATTACTGTGTTATTGTCTGGTTGGGTTGAGCTGGGGTCAGATCAGTATAACGCCAGTTTGTACCACATACAACGTAAATCTACCTTCCACTGTAATTGGTCGAAATCCTCTAATTGCAGATGTAAGTTATATCGCTATAATAAAAGCATATATTGGGAGATTCGAACATTTATTGGGAGATTTAAAACATATTGGGAGATTCAAACATTTATTGGGAGATTTGAACATATATTGGGAGATTCAATTTTATTTTGGGAGATTCGAAACATATTTGGAAATTCGAAACATCTATTGGGAGATATATTGGGAGATTCGAAGGGGATTAAATTCACTAGTCTGTCACTATACAAACTATTTAGATATTAATAGATTATAAAAGAAGCAGCCTCTATACAAAATATTCTAAATATGTCCGAGTAGGCTATCAAAGGGCTGGGATGACCTAGTGATCTCAAATGTTGTGTTTCTAGCTCTAGCTGTCTTGGGGGAGGGGGGATGGCCGAATTGTTAGCACAGGCGCGCTCCATCATAAGACCTGTCATTATTGAGTCAACTGGGGTGGTTTCGAATCTTCGGTTGTACGTGACAGGGAGTTGGGTCGTCTGTCCAACCTCATGGGTTTTCTCTGGGTCCTCCGGTTTCCTCCCACTGCTAAAGACCCCTACGCGCAATCGAATTATTGAAATAAAATTAAACCATATGTTAGTCCCGAAATGACCTAGTTTGTGTCGAGTGGACGTTAAACCCTATTTCTCTCTCTCTCTCTCTCTCTCTCTAGCTGTCTGGTCACCTCTGGCTTGTGGTCATAGTTTCGATCCCTGGTGTGAGCGTTTGCGGCTTGGAGATAGGGACGCCTTCCTCTGACAGAAGATCCATGTGCGTGCTCTAAGCATTATAGAATATGGCAACTTGTCTGTGATATCACCATCGGTAGAAATAGCTGGTAATCACTAACAGAAGAAGAAGTATTAAAGAAACCAGCAGAGCCAGCTGAAGGTTTCTGATTTTAGATGTTTTTGTCCAGGTCAATGGTCAAGGGTCAAGAGACGGTTGAATCACTACTAGTGGACTAGTGTTCATACGCTGTATGGTCCAAGAAGAATCTTCAGGAGATCTTCTGTCTCATCCCCATCCCCCTTGCTTTCGATTCCCAGGTTGTATGTGACAAGGAGTAGGGTCGCTTGTCCAACCTTGTGGGTTTTCTCCGGGTCCTCTGGTTTCCTCCCACTACTAAAGACCCCTACGCGCACACAAATTATTGAAATAAAATTGAACCATACCATGTGTTAATCCCGAAATGGCCTAGTTTGTGTAGAGTGGACGTTAAACCCCATTTATCTCTCTCTCCCATCCCCCTTCCCAATAATTTGGATATATTTTGGCCTTTTTTTTTCCTGAGATTATAAATTTTTATAGGAGGAACCCCAGTTTGGCTCCCCTTACCAGCATCTCTGACAATATGATTTACTAGTCTGTATATAATATGTTTTTGACCAAGCCAAGGTTTAGATACACACAGATTCATCGGCTTGTTTGTTTTTCAAAAATTGTAGTTTTAACTTGACAGTAAATTGTAGTTTAACATGCCAGTAAAATCGTAATTTAAACTTGACAGTAAACTGTTAGTTTAAACTTGACAGTAGATTTGTTTAAACTTGTCAGTAAAATTGTAGTTTAATCTTGTCAGTAAAATTGTAGTTTAATCTTGACAGTAGATATGTTTAAACTTGACAGTAAATTTGTTGTTTAAATTTGACAGTAAATTTGTTTAAACTTGACATTAAACTTGTAGTTTAAACTTGACATTAAACTTGTAGTTTAAACTTGACAGTAAACTTGTAGTTTAAATTTGACATTGTAATTTAATTTGAACATTTTTCTTTTTTTTTTACAGGTTGTATATTTGGTGTCAAACAATTCAGTTATTCCCGGATCGGCAGCTACTAATCCTATTCCTGTAAACAGTGACATGATAACCAAGTCTCAAGTAGAATACAGAATAAATGATACTGGAAGTGGTGAACCTGATGTTCTGGTCAAAAAGTCAATAGAGGTCAGAATCATTTTATTTGCCTTCCTCCGGTTGGGGGGATTGGTGGCCGAATTGTTAGCACGTGCGCGCTGTATCATAAAGTCTGTCATTGAGTCAACGGCAGGGTTTTGATTCCCCGGTTGCATGTGACAAGGAGTAGGGTCGCCTGTCCAACCGAAAAACTGAGGACCCGTTTGCGTTCACATAAAAGAACCATTGGCAGTTTGCAATTCGATATAATTGTAGGCCCTAGCGCTGCTGTCAACGCAAAATTTCCCTCATTGCTCATTACATGGTGTACCGTATGCTTGTCTTCATCAGCCCTGTAGGAGCAGAAAAGCAGGATGTTGAACTCCAAAATGGATGAATGAATATGATGTTGAAATTGCATTTATTCACATTTTCACGATTTTTAATTTCAGATAATTAATAGTAGCCCTGAGAACCCAGTAGTTAAGATCAGCACCGTTCTGATTCACGAATCAACCTCAACCCGCCAATATTTAGACAGTGTGCAATTTAACGATGATTTGACGGCAGGTTTGTGGGCAGAACTTGGAAATGGTTTTCAACCTGGCATATTTGAACCCAATTTAACCAACTATGGTCGCTCCCAAATACGGTGGAATGTTGCAGGCAATATCACAAGTAAGTTTAAAGGCTCAATACCACTCTTGTTGTAACTGAATAATATGTCCCAATCTTTATTCTGGTCAACAAATTGTACTATTTTACAATATTCCAATTAATTGATGATACAAATTTGATCTTAACACACCTAATTTAAAAAATTGGAAAAATTCAACTAAATGATTTGAAAAGCCTGACATAAAGCTTTTCAAATGTTACTTGGATTTAAAAATATTTTTGAACCCTCTGGACAAGTAAAATATGATTTAATGGATAATTTACACAACAGGTAGGACACTAACAAATCTAGTACTTAGAATAAGGCTATTTTTTATTTTCTGGAGCTGTCAAGCCAGCAAGAATGTTATTGTCCCTTTAAGTGTATGTAAACACTGGATCGTATCCCTGACTGCCTCATTATTGAGCCAGCACCATACTCCGCGAACTCGCAGCTTCGTATTAGGTACGTGTATTATGCGATGGTGTTTTGTTACATCGTGAAAAATCCAGTATGAATTAAGGAGTGCTCTATATTATGCAACATTATACTCCAATTATGTGGCATCATACAGAAATTATGTGGCATCATACAGAAATTAGGTGACATTGTACAGGAATTAGGTGACATCATGCTGAAATTAGGTGACATCATGCTGAAATTATGTGACATCATGCTGAAATTATGTGACATCATGCTGAAATTATGTGTCCTCGTACTGAAATTATGTGACATCACACTGAAATTATGTGACATCACGCTGAAATTATGTGACATCATGCACTTAAAAGAATCTGTGACAGATTAAATTTAATGTAGGCAGAAACACTGCAGTCGGACAAGAGTTCTCTCATTACACGCCTCATAGGTCGTTAAACCCCATCGCGTTTCTTTCTTTTTCAAATTACGAGAATTCGTCTTTTATTTTACAGGTAACGACAGTAGAACATTAGAATATTTTGCCATGCCACCAGAAGATGAATATCATGATTTACCTGATGGTGTTTCAACATACGTAACAACTGTTCAATTTTCAGATGTAAGTTACTTAATGTTGTTTTACCCACTCAAGCATCAACATAATTTGTAGTTACTAGGATATGTGCTTCCTGCTGTTGTACTAGATATTCCAATTTTTGATTTTGTAAGCAGTTACACCCATAACACAACCTCACAACTTCCTTCATTTGCCTAGTATGCCACAGAAAAACTTAGTAACTCAATAGTCAAATCAATACATAAGCTGGGGTTTAATATTCATTCATTAAATTTTTCTTTGTTTTCTCAAAATAAGAAAAAAGTGAGTTACTAGGTGTTGCCTTTTGAAGGGAGATATGTGTTTGATGTGATATTTTATGAAATTATTTTCTTGTTGATAGTTCTAAAGCCTCTTTGCATTTCCTGGGGGGGGGGGGGCGGCGGATGATCTGGTAGTTTCACGGGCACATAAGGTTTATCATTAATTCAAGCGGCGTGGTTTCTATTCTCTGCTTGTGTGTGGGGGGTCACAGTGGCTAAGTGGGTAAGGCGCTGGCTCGCTAGCCTGGAGGTTGGGTGTTCGATACCTGCATTGGCCGAGAAAGTTCTTCCAGATTTTCCGGCGTGGTTCCCCCCTAGTCATTGATCCTGGACAGAGGGTCCGACAAGGACAGCTGTCTAGTTGTTCGGATGGGATGTAAAACCAAGGCCCGTGTATACATTGGCGTGCACGTAAAAGATCCCTTGACAGTTGGAATTCAATATAAGAGTAGGCCATAGTGCCGCTATCCGGGCAAAATTTCCCTCACATAGCACACTGTATGGTGTATGTCCATCTTCATTAGTCCAGTTTGGAGCAAAACAATAGTACGTTAAACCCCATTTCATTTCATTTCATTTCGTTTTGTCAGTACAACATTACTGAAGGTTGTATACTTGATAAATGAATGTATTCCACTTTTCTGGATTCATTCAAATTATTTTTATATAGTTACTTTCTAAAACATTTACATACGGTAATGAAATTGTTATTTCTTATTTTTGTTTATAAAAATGGGTCTTGCAGCCCTTTTTAGTTGACCAGTGATTATCTGAGAACCACACTATTTGTTTTATATGGCCTAGCGTTTTTAATGTTACACTGGTTCTGATGGGTTGGATGGCCGAATGGTTAGCGTGTGCGCGCTGTATCATAAGGTCTGTCATTGAGTCAACTGGTGTGGTTTTGATTCCCTGGTTGTATGTGACAAGGAGTAGGGTCGCCTGTCCAACCCTGCTAAAGACCTCTACATGGAAGCGAATTATTGACATAAAATTGAACCATATGTTAGTCCCGAATTGACCTAGTTTGTGTCGAGTGGATGTTAAAAACCATTTCTCTCTCTCTCTACACTGATTCTTCTGTGGGTTTTTTTTTCAGGATGCTGGTGTGATGTATACCCCTGTGAAACTTGAAGTGTGTATTGATAGAACATCACAAATCAAAAAAAGTGTAAGATATTTTATTTATTTCATTTTGTTGTTTTGTTTAACAATTTGTTGTCACTATTTACATACTTTAGATTGGCTGTTGTAGTTTGAATTCTTAATTTGTTTTATTTCCATTATAATTTCTAGTTTACAGTCATATTTTTGATATTAAAGCAGCCTGTAGTCATTTTAGTTTTGTAAACATTTTGACATTTTACAAATGTTACCAGATGTGGTAAAACATATGGAATTGTAACTCACAATATGGTAACAGATGGCAATTGTGTTGTGAATTCTGCTCCATATTTCTTTGCCTGGATTGAAGTAAAGAAATGATGGGAATATGCATTTGAAATTGAAAACTATAATTTTTTTTTTTTTTTTTTTTTTAAAGTTATGTAATTTATTATAAATGAGTGGGAGATCTGGGAACAGTCAAAATGCTTTGTCAAACCCCTTTCCCAATGCTTAACTGAAATATTTCTGGAATCATGACTTAGATGCTTTTATTTATTTACATGAACAATAAAAACGTTACAGTGATGTGTAATTTTTGTTTTTCAGTTATTATACATGCATGGTTTTACAGCACTGAGTTTCTTCATGGCATTTATACTAGGTATATTGTTGGTTGTACTGATAGTATTTATCATCGTGTATTTTATGAAGAAACGCGGCTATATGGCCACAGCTGTATCTCCTGGAAAAATAGATGTAAGTCATTTTATGAAAGAAACCGTATCCTATGAACAATGAAATTTCAGCAACGTTTCAATACTGTTACCGGCATATCTTTATCAAGCAATGAGAAGGGGGGGATGTATCATGAGGTCTGTCATTGAGTCAACTGGCATGGTTTTGATTCCACGGTTGTACATGACAAGGAGTAAGATCGCCTGTCCAACCTAGTAGGTTTTCTATGGGTCCTCCGGTTTCCTACCACTGCTAAAGACCCCTACACGCAAGCAAATTATTGAAATAAAATTGAACCATGTGTTAGTCCCGAAATGACCTAGTTTGTGTCGAGCGAACGTTTAACCCCATTTTTCTCTCTTTTTATCAAGCAATGATCAAGAATGAGCTAAGAAGTAGTAAAGTAAATCCTTAAAGTTGTGTTATTGTGAACAATTTAATTAATTAAACAATTTATGTCCAATCTGAAATCACTTTATGGCAACAATCTTGTTTTTTTATTCATAAAACTATTTAGGTTCAATCTAAGTCACCTAATAGTTGCGATTTTTGTTTATGATCTCTTGGGGGCCTTTTGGCGCAATGGTTAACGCGTGCACATGGTATCGTAAGGTCTGTCATTGAGTCAAGTGGCGTGGTTTTGATTCCCTGCTTGTATGTGACAAGGAGTAGGGTTGCCTGTCCAACCTTGTGGGTTTTCTCTGTGTTCCTCACCCTGCTAAATATGATTAAAATAAAATTGAACCATGTGTTAGTCTGAAATGACTAGTTTGTGTTGAGTGCACGTTAAACCCCATTGCTCTCTCTACATGATCTCCTGGGATGGATTTAATCAGATGAAAAATTACCTCATCAAAATGATTTGACCATATTCTGTCTACAGACAAAGCCGAACACTGAGAATTTTTAATTCATCATATTTTTTTATTTACTGAACCTTATTTGGACTGATATCTCTTTATTAGAGATTCAACTTCCACAATTTTATGGTATTAAAAGGAGGCAAAATCACTCAAGTTGAATCGGGGGGTTGGGTGGCCGAATGGTTAGCATGTGCATGCTGTATCATCATATGGTCTGTCATTGAGTCAACTGGCGTGATTTCGATTCCCCAGTTGTATGTGACAAGGAGTAGGGTTGCCTGTCCAACCTCGTGGGTTTTCTCTGGGACCTCCTGTTTCCTCCCTACGTGCAAGCGAATTATTGAAATAAAAATTGAACCATATGTTGGTCCCGAAATGACCTTGTTTGCGTCGAGTGAACATTAAACCCCACCACAATTTTATAGTTTTAAAAGGATGCTATATCACTCAAGATGACTCAAAGTTCAAAGACTTGAGGGTCAGAATTATGCAGATAAGATTGTGATTTGTTAACCAGTTGAGAAAGAATTTAATTTAAACTGTTTATTATAATTGAGAGAGAATTGAATTCCAACCTTTCATTGTTTTATCTTGTAGAAAATGAAGATGAAAGAGACAGGTAAAAAGATTGTTTTGGATGCCAAAGATGCCATTAAAAAAGGTTTTAATACAATCAAAGATTACAGGTTAGCTAAAAAGATTTTTAAAACCTATAATCTCATATAACAAAGGGTTATTAGAAATGTAAATGTGTTTTTTACAATTAAAATGTGTTATTTATATACATTACAATTACAACATGTTATTTACAGAATGTTATTTACAAATATAACATGTTATTTACAATTACAACATGGTATTTACAATTACAACATGTTATTTACAGAATGTTATTTACAATTATAACATGTTATTTACAGAATGTTATTTACAATTATAACATGTTATTTACAATTATAACATGTTATTTACAATTACAACATGTTATTTACAGAATGTTATTTACAGAATGTTATTTTCAAGTACAACATGTTATTTTTAAGTGCAACATGTTATTTACAGTTTGATTGGACCAGATGATAGTATTGTGTACATCCTGTCTCTAAAAGATAAACTTCAGATGTTCAGAGAAATTGACAAGTAAGTTGAAATTAAAACAGGAAAACTGGTCAAGAAGACTGAGTTGAATGTTAATTGGATGTTAACCCTGGTCTTTCTCTTCCTCTAACCATATCCCGGGTTTGATCCTGGTGTTAGCTATAATAAACGAATGTGAAAGAAATTAGTGCTAGATACACAAGATCAAATGATACCTGGGTTACAGTGTTATAGATTCTTATAATCAGTCAAGTTTTCAATAATAAGAGTAAGATTTTCCTCAAAGCACACTGCATGAATTATACTCGTCTTCATAAGCCTAATGGGAATATCTGACCCTCCCCACCCCACCCACCCCCCTCCCATCGTAAGTTTCTTTGAAAATTAATAGCTAGTAATATACAACAACAAAATATTATTAATGAATTTCCATAATTTTCCTAAACAGTTTAGATATCGTTTCGACGATTTACGTGGATACGGACATCGAGAAAGAACAGAATGACGCCGCTGTACAGGCAAGTACCATGTTGATACAAGGTATGATGCAGAATGGTGACATCACAAAACAAACCCACGATCAGACTATTAACAATCTCAACAATAACATGAAAGATTTGGAGAGAAAATTACAAGACGATTACAAAAAGGAAATGGAAATTATTCTGGTTAGATTGTGTGCCAGAAATAGGGTGAGTAAAATCGTAAATACAGGTGCGGCTGATGAAATCAATGGGCCCTAGGCTAAATCAGTATAATTTTGGATTGCTCCCGTCAAAAGGCAAAACCTAGTAACTCACTTTTTTCTTATTTTGAGAAAACAAAGGAAAACGTAATGAATGAATATTAAACGCCAGCTCATTCATTGATTTGAATATTGAGTTTCTAGGTTTTGCTGTGGTATACTAGGCAAATGAAGAAAGTTGCTAGGTTGTGTCATGGGTGTAACTGCTTACAAAATCAAAAGATTGGAATATCTAGTACAACAACAGGAGACACATACCCTAGTAACTACAAATTTGGTCCTAACTCAGTTTTGATAAAAAAAAAGTGAGTTACTAGGTTTTGCCTTTTGACGGGAGATTGTCTCTCTAATGTTGCTTCTTATTAAAAATTTAAAAAAATTGTTACTATGCTTGTATATGTATAATAATTAACTACTATATATTCTGTACATTTTCATACATTTTATTATATTAATATAATATGTATGTGTTTGCCATTTTAACTATGTATAATATACACCCATTTGCATTAATAATATATATATACATATATATATATAAATTATTTAGGGAGAGGGGTTTTACATAGGTTAAGCCAGTTCCCCAATCCCATTCAGACAACCTGAATAAAGATATTGTTTATAAAAAAAATGAAGAGGGACCAGGCCCTAGGCTATTCCACTTATGAGGCCCCCTCCCAATCCCCCACACTGAAATTGTGTTTTAAACACAATATAGCAAAGCGGAGGATGATGACGGATAATTAGACTATAATGTGTGCCCGAAAGGCTTATGACAGCGTCATAAATGTTATACACCTTGGTCGGAGGCCCCCTAGATCTTGAGACCCTATGTAAATCCGGAACTGAGTCTTATGGTGTGTAAAACCAGGACGGAACCTTCAATTCCCGACCCACACGACTAGAGGAAGATGAAGGTCTGTTTTAAACACAATTGAGTAAAGCCCAGAATGATGACTATTGTTTAAGAATATAGAATGTGTAATAATAGCGTATGACAGTGTAAAAAATGTGGCATTGGGCTCACTAAGGTGAGTAAAATCAGGATGGAACCTGGTTAGTGAGTCAGGACTTTACTCGATCCCCCGCCCTTATGACTTAAGGAAAATGAAAGTGTGTTTTAAGACATAATGTAATGACATAAGATATTATACACATTGGCCAGAGGCCCAATATATCTTGAGGCCCTAGGCTTCAGCCTTTCAAAATTATAGTAAGTAAAATGAGGATTGAACTTGGTTAGTGAGCCAGGACCGTTTTCACTGAGCAATCATTAGAATATCTGGTAATAATTTTCAAAACTCAATTATATTACAGGAAAAAGTTGGTGAGATGCTTCATAGACATAACTTACAGAAGATAGAAGTGGAAGAAAAAACATCAGAATTATCGGAAAAGGTTGGTTTTAATTGTTGATTTATTACTATAATCAGCCCTTAACACACCAGGAGGAACTTCTGGGTCAGTCAACTCTAAGAATGCGTAACGTCTATTTCTGTAAGTAGGCTGGGTTTCTGCTCTCTGAAACTGGTGGTTATAATGGCAATCCATCTAGCGTGTAGTTATATCTAAAGTTATTCATGGGACTCTCATTAGAGCCTATTTTCTCCTCATTTATCATGGACATGATATTTTGAAATAAGAATCGTTTTAAAGGAAAGTATGATTTTTTTGTTCTCGTTTGGGAGGATGGAGGTTGAGTCACATACCAGGGAAACTCCTGGCGCTACTGAGAGACTTGGTAAGTCTGACAGTGATTACTACAATGATCTTTATCATTATGTACAAATCGATAGCAGCATGTTAACGAAACCCTTGCAGTTGAACATGGAAATACGTAAGTGTAGGCTGTAGTGCCTCTTTTGGGAAAAACTCCTGTCATAAATAAACATTATTTTATTACTTTCATTGATCTATTTACACAATATATATATATATATATATATATATATATGAATACAATAACAAGCTCATGTCAAATCAATTTTAACTGCTTGACTTATGTCTCTCTTCATTAGCCTGGTTGGTGTAGAAAAATAAAATTTTAAACCCAATTTCATTTCAATTTGTCATTATTAACTAAAGTATGATAATAATAGAGCATCTTCACAAGGTTTCTTGGTAGAGCATCATTCTCATGTGGAGGGATACTATATTTATGGATATATATATATATTTCTGTGTTTTAGGAAACTGAAGATTTTTTAAGTTTATTAGAGAAACAACATCAAACAGAACAGAATGAGATGACCTACGTTTTAGCTTTAGAACAGAATGAAGAGGCAGAAAAACTTAGAAAGGTCAGTTGATAATGAGTGATAGAAGGATGAACAAGTGAGTGATAGAAGGATGAATATTTATCTTATGAAATTAAGACTGATAAGGTTGGCAAAAATTGAGGGAGGGAAAGAGAGAGAGAAATGGAGTTTAAGTCTACTCAAAACCAGTTTAGTCAATTTAGGATTAACATATGGTAAAATATTATTTCAATAATTCACTTTTGTGTGAGAAAACCCACAAGGTAGACAGACGTCCCTACTCCTTGTCACGTCTTAGTTCAGGAGCAATGACAGAACTTAAGATATAAAGTGCACATGCTCAACAATGATCGAGCACCATACCCCTTGTAAAAATTGAGCAAAAGGTAATAAATAACTTGACCACCACAAATATCATGATTCTCATTTTCTATTTTCAGGAATTTGGAATCAGAAAACGACTTGGTATAAAAGAAGTTCAGCAGAAAATAATCAGTGATGTTGTCCAAAATGGCGGGTTGATGCAGAAACAAGCTGATTGGTTGCTAAAAGAACATAAACGACAACAGGACGAGATACAAAAAATGTATGATGAAGAAATTTCACGACAGCGAATGACCCTAGAAGAAAAGCTGACCAGAAGAAGAGGTTTGGCTCAAGCCAGTGTAAGCTTTTAGAATTTATTTGAAATGATGGGAAATAATCTCAAATTTTGATACTGATCTGGTACATTAATATTGCAAGCTATATAATTGGGAAAGATGTATTTGGACAGAAAATAATAATTAAATAAAACACATGGTTGCTGTATTCTTCGATTTATACAATGTGGTGCTGTAAAAAATGTTGTTTATACAATGTTCTGCTGTAAACAATGTTGTTTATACAATGTTCTGCTGTAAACAATGCTGTTTCTACATGTACAATGTTCTTCTGTAAACTGTGCTGTTTATACAATGTTCTGCTGTAAACCATGCAGTTTATAAAATGTTCTACAGTAAGAGTGCTGTTTATACAATGTTTTGCTGTAAACTGTGCTATATTTCAGTTTAAATAATTCACACAATCAACTTGCATTCAAAGATTATAGGCGTTTTTACGAGAAAACAAATCAGTTTCGATTACCTATCTCGTTTTGTACAAAGACATAAGTCTCGAATTGGTCTTCGAATCAGTTCTCGTAAACGCAATGAGTTCTTGCAAGATGGCTGAAGACTGAAGAATTGAGGAAAAATGTTAAAAAAAATTCACTTTTCTTTATTCTGTTCTTGGTGACACCTCCCAAAAATAAAAACGAGAAGTTGTACCAGTTGACTATCCCCAAATGCCCCGTATTTTTATTAGGAATGTCCATAATATTCATATTTTAACATTCATATTTCAAAAGAAAATGAACTAACGTTGGGCACGTCGTGTCCCTCGTTGGGGACGCCATCTTGGAAATCGAATCTTCAATCCAGCAGGCGAGCAAGTTGGAAGATTTGTATAATCGATTTGGCAAATCGTCATGGTAAATACGACAATTAGGTGGAACCGATTAGGATAATTTTTGCCGTGTTTGGAAAGGAAATGCAAATCGATTAGCCCTAATCGGTTTCTCGTAAAAACGCCATATATATTTTCAGATTAGAATGTTGTAACTGTAATAATTGCATAATGGTTAGATGATTATTATTGTTGATTAAAGGAATATCAAGAAGATTAGATTTATTTTTAGATTTGAATGTTGTAACTGTAATAATTGCATAATGGTTAGATGTTTATTATTGTTGTCTATAGGAATATCTGACTGGTATATATGTAGAGTGTAAATGTGATGTTTATTATTGTTGTTTATAGGAATATCAAGAAGATGATTTAAGTGATATGTTGAATACAATGGCTGGACATCAAGTTAATGACATCAACAAATTAAACAAGTTTGTATACAATATTATTTTACATTTTAACATGGTCATATATTGTCATCATCTCTGTCTATTTATCTGTCATTCACTATTTAGACCATACGGTCTGTCATTGAGCCAAGTTGGGTAGTGACCCACAGCTTTATAATGAGAAGGAGAAGGGATGGCTGCCCAACCTTGTGGGTTTCCTCTACTAAGGACCCGTAGGCGACTCATAAAGAAAACTGGACCATATCACTGGTAAGCTGATACCGTTGACTAATGAAGCTAGTTCTTTAAGTAATGACAGTTTTTGTCATTTAATTGTGTAAGTAGTCAGTATTCTAAACTTATGTTTAGTATGTATAGAAAGTGGTTAGAAATTACCATTATGGGACAAACGAATGGTTCAATTTTCTTTCAGTAATTCTCTTTAGCTGTTGGAGAAAGCCCATGAGGGTGGACAGGTGAAACCATGTCACTCCACTCGATGACAGACCTTATGATCCAGAGTGCACGCTTAATACCCCCCGTCAGACCGGGGAGGTGTCTTTACTTTGCTGCTACGGCAACGGAAAATGGTTTTAGAGGGCATTAAGATTGCCATAAGCGTGGTGGAAACGCCAGCTGTGGTCACCATGGTCGCCAATGATTGCCGAGTCACAGCATTTGTTTTGAGCATGTTCAAAACAAATGCCAAGGTTCTGTGATCTAAACTGGAAAGCTTTGAGAACACGACTTTTTCCAAGTGGTCACATTTTTGCGCATTGTGTTCACGTTTGCCGGCGACCAGAAAATGCACAAGGTTGCCACAGCGCAGTAAAGACGCCACCACGGTCTGACAGGGGCAGTAGACAACTAGACCTCCTGACTTTCACTCCCAACAAAGAGGTGATTCTGTGGAATATAAATGTCTCAAGTTTTAGGCTCTGTGATTATTGGCTTTAATAGTTTTTATGTTTTTTGTTTTCAGACAAGGTAAAATTTCGTCAGAATTGGCTGAAGAATTTATCGCAGATATGAAAAATGATATATTGGTCGTGAAAGAGAAAATGGAGAAAGAAAAAACTCGACAGGAAATGGAACTTCATAAAAAACTTTCTTTATTAAAACAAGAAAAAATGAGTGCCATGGTGAGGGAAAATTCCATTTAACATGTGGCTGTAGTAGAAATGCGCCTTTTTTTTTAAAAAATGATTTGGTGATCAACGTTGTTTAAATGTGTGTGAAATAGCTTTATTTAAAGATACATTATGTAAGATTTAGGTAAAGAGCTAGCCATTCTTGCTATAATAGTTCGAAAATAGATAATGTAAAATTAATAATTGGAAAATTTCATTCAAATTACTCTATTGTGAGCGAAGATATTAGCCTTTGAAGGTTTGACAAGAAGTGTGCAATAATTTCAACCACCGTACTGGTTGTTCGAACCTAAGTCTTGCTCCTCCTTCCTTAGCTTAACTCAAAATATGGCTGAACTGTTCTAATCTATTTAATATCGGAGAAATCCGATGACATCAAGACTTGATTATGGCCTGGATAAGTTAATTAATATCTAATTAAAAATTTAGAAATCAATTCAGGCCGAAAAAAGACCTGCAATAGGCAGATTTAGCTCTTGCATAATGTATGTTTAACATCCGCTACCACCTAAGTAATATCGCAGACAAAATTGGGTTGTTTAAAAAAATGTATTTCTATTAATAGAGGGAGGTTATTGCAAAATGATTTACATGCAATTTTTATAAAGAAAATCTATCTTTGTAGAATGATTTCTTTCTCTCTTTCTCTTTCTGTATCTGGGGGTTGGATGGCTGAATGGTTAGCATGCACGCACTGTATCATAAAGTCTGTCATTGAGTCGACTGGCGTGGTTTCGAATCCCCGGTTGTACGTGGCAAGGAGTAGGGTCGCCTGTCCAACCTCGTGGGTTTTCTCCCGGTCCTCCGGTTTCCTCCCACTGCTAAAGACCCCTACGCGCAAGCGAATTATGTAAATAAAATTAAACCATATGTTAGTCCCGAAATGACCTAGTTTGTGTCGAGTGGACGTTAAACCCCATTTCTCTCTCTCTCTTTCTGTATCTGGAGGTCAGGGTGGCTAAGTTTGTAAGACGCTGGCTCGCTAGCCTGGAGGTCAGGTGTTCGATCCCTGCATTGGCCGAGAAAGTTCATCCTGATTTTCCGGCGTCGTTCACCCTTGTCAGTGATGCAGGACAGAGGGGTCTGACAAGGACAGCTGTCTAGTTGTTCGGAGGTCCTGTATACACATTGGCATGCACTTTTAAGATCCCTTGACAGTTGGAATTCGATATAAGAGTAGGCCATAGAGCCTCTCTCGGGGCAAAATTTCCCTCATAGCACACTGTATGGCGTATGCTCGTCTTCATTAGCCCAGTTCGGAGCATAACTGCAGGACGTTAAACTCTGTTTCATTTTATTTCTGTACCTGAGGGCACTTGTCATAAAAGAGTGAAAATGTGAAATGATGTATTGGGAAAGTTTGAGGGATAACTAAATTCACATGTCTATGTGACATTATTTGTTTGTTGTGTTTTTAGAGAAAGCGACAAGAAGAAGAAATGGTTGAATATAACAAACGATGTAAAGAACAGCAGACAGAAGGTCCAATAGGTCAGACAATTATTATTATTTATATTATAAATCATTTTTCCTAGTGCCGTGTAACGCAAGAATTTTGCCACAAGAGAGACGTTTTTTTTAATTCCAACTGTTAAGTCCACCTAAGTTGTAAACAGCTAGACCTCAGTTTTTTGTACCATCTGAATGACTAGACCCACTTTCCACATCAGCCATAGTAGACATCATCCAGGAATCACCCCTGCCCTTACTGTTGCATAAGAAGGGTAACATTACCATTGATTGTGTGACCTAAAGAAAGCACCTATAAGTTGTTTTTTTTTATAGTGAATACGTTTCTTATTTTGGAATTTAAGCTCTGAAGAACACTCAGATAATATCCCTGAAGTAACATCATTGAAGTAAAGAAAGGCTACTTACGGTTTTCAGCTAATTTAAACTGTAGTGTTTTTCAGAAATTGTGTAACGTTTTAAGATTCAGTCAGCTGTAAATGGCCATTGTAGATTATGTTTTTACACAATAAAATGTCTAGACATAATCTGAATTATATTGACTGACGAAGTGGGGATTGGGTGTTCTAGTAATTTAAACTGTAGTGTTTTTCAGAAATTGTGTAACGTTTTAAGATTCAGTCAGCTGTAAATGGCCATTGTAGATTATGTTTTTACACAATAAAATGTCTAGACATAATCTGAATTATATTGACTGACGAAGTGGGGATTGGGTGTTCTAGTAATTTAACGCCATGAAGTTGGACATGTAACCCTACTCCTTGTATCCAACCTCGTGGGTTTTCTTCGGGTCCTCCAGTTTCCTCCCATTGCTAAAGACCCAAATGCGCAAGCGAATTATTGAAATAAAATTAAACCATATGTTAGTCCCGAAATGACCTAGTTTGTGTCGAGTGGACGTTAAACCCCATTTCTCTCTCTTTCTCTAATCCTTGTATATAAGCCGGGAATTGAAACCACACCACTTAACTCAATCAGACTTTATGATTTCATATGCATGCGTTAAACCACTAGAGGAGTAGGGTAGCCTGTTCAACCTTGTGGGTTTTCTCCAAACCCACCGGTTTCCTCCGACAGCTAAAGGCTTTTTTTTTTTAGAGTGGCCATTAAACCCGTTTTCTCTATCTCTATATTGTTACTTTAATGAAATCCAGGCTGGTTGGGTGGCCGAATGGTTAGCGTGTGCCCGCTGTATCAGAAGGTCTGTCATTTAGTCAACTGGCGTGGTTTTGATTCCCCGATAGTATGTGACAAGGAATAGGGTCGCCTGTCCAACCTTGTGGGTTTTCTCCGGGTCCTCTGGTTTCCTCTAAAGACCCCTATGCGCTAGCAAATTATTGAAATAAATTGAACCATATGTTAGTCCCGAAATTATCTAGTTTATATTTAGAGTGGCTATTAAGCCCAATTTCTCTATCTGGATTGTTAGTTTAATGAAATGCTTTCTGTGTGTTTTTATTAGATCCTGTATCTGTATTGGAAGGAGAGTTGAGACTGAGATCGACACATCGTGCTGAATTAAGTAACGTTGAGAACGAACTTGATAGCGATCACTCTAAACAGTTAGAAAAAGCTCGAGATATTCTTGCTGAAAGAACAAAGGATGAATTATATCAGATGGAGAAAAACTTACTGGATAAATTACAAGATGAAGGTAAGAGCAATCTAATTAAAGATGCATTATGTAAAAGCTAAATCTGCCAATTGCAGGTGTTTTTTTTTGGCTTCAAATGATTTTCTTTTTGGCCAACTATAACCAGTACTTAAAGAGACATTATGTAAGAGCTAAATCTTTCTATTGCATATCTTTTTTTATGACTTCAAAGGTAATATAAATAATTATTTAGACATTTATTTACATGACAAGCCTATAATCAACTCTCTAAATCATCGGATGGCAGAGATTTAAATGGATTAAAATGCCTTCTGGATATTAAAATTTAACAATGAAATGGATAGTCAAGACTAAATCACGCTTGTCTAGTACTGTTGCTAGGATAGTAAACAATTTTCAAACACCCATAAATTTGCTCAGAATAAAGTAATTTGAACGAAATTTTCAATATATTCATTTTTTAATATGTATGAACTATTATATCAAGATCAACCAGCTCTTTATCTAAATCTTACATAATGCATCTTTAAAATACATATCTGAATTTTGTTTTGCTTTTTTAACCAGTAACTGATTCCATACACTTGTTCTTCCCGGGGTGGTGCTCTTCAGAAAATGTCTAAGGCTTATCAATAGAAATAAAGGTTTACAATTGAAGTCTATATTGCTGATTAAAAATGAATGTTTTGGATAGAAAATCTGTATTGTTGATGAACAAATGACGTTTAAAACCAGTGTTGTTGATTAAAATCACTGTTAGATTGAAACCAATGTTTTTAATGATAGGAATGAAAGAATCCGAAGTTCAGAAAATATTAAAACAACATGAAAGAGAGATAGTTGAACTTAGTGAAAGTCAAGAAGAGGGAAGGAGAAAGCAACAAGAAAAACTAATGGTTAGTGCATAACACTATTGAGTTTTCAGTGCAATCTGTATAAAGATTTTTGATTGGTAGGTTAATGTGGTTTTGACCAATCAAATTTACAAACTTTCTGTCGCGGTGCAGAGAAGTAATATATTAAACCCCCATTAACATCAGGGGGGTTGGATGGCCGAATGGTTAGCACGTGCATGCTGTATCATACGGTCTGCCATTGAGTCAACTGGCAGGGTTTTGATTCCCCGATTGTACGTGACAAGGAGTAGGGTCGCCTGTCCAACCTCGTGGGTTTTCTCCGGATCCTCCAGTTTCCTCCCACTGCTAAAGACCCCCACGGGCAAGCAAATTATTGAAATAAAATTGAACCATGTGTTGGACCCGAAATGACCTAGTTTGTGTCGAGTGGAAGTTAAACCCCATTCCTCTCCTCTCCTCTGTATAAAGATTTTTGATTGGTAGGTTAATGTGGTTTTTACCAATCAAATTTACAAACATTCCTGTCTTCATTTGCTTGGTCAGTGCAGAGAAGTAATACATTAAACCCCCATTAACATCGATTAAAAGTTCAATGTTAAATACCTTTTCATTTAAGGAAAAGCTAGCCAAAAGAAAGAAAGAATGGGCACAACGAAAACTCTCAGAAAAACAGGAGCAGAAGGAATTACGTGAACATGAATCAAAAGTTATTGGGTAGGTTAAACAGACATACAAAACAGTCTTCAGTCTGGCCATCAGTGATTCGATATGTTACAAAACACATCAGAAGTTTATTAATAATAGGGGTGTGGGGGTGTGGATGGTCGAATGGTTAGTGCGTGCGCGTTGTATCATAAGGTCTGTCATTGAGTCAACTGGCGTGGTTTTCGATTCACTGGCGTGGTTTCGATTCTCCGGTTGTATGTGACAAGGAGTAGTTTTCTCCGGGTCCTCTGGTTTCCCCCAACTGCTAAAGACCCCTATGCACATGCGAATTATTGAAAAAAAATTGAACCATATGTTAGTCCCGAAAATGACCTAGTTTGTGTCGAGTGGACGTTAAACCCCATTTCTCTCTCTCTCTTCTCTATCTAATAAAGAAGAAAAATCCATACGCATTGAGCCATCGTAGCTGCCTTAGTTTGTTGCAGTATCAAAGCGATCAATATCAGATGTTACACCAACATCAATGGATGACATCACATCGACATTTTAAATATATTTAATATTTCGAGAAACATATTAGAAGTTTATTAATAATGGAGAAGAAGCCATACTGACTGAGCTATAGTGAATCCCTTTGTTTTTTGGCAGTATCTAAGTGATAATTATCCAATATTTTTTTGTTATTTTAGTAAATTGATCAGTAGTCAGATGTCGATATCAGATGAAGACCGACAGAAAATAATGAAAGAACACGAACAGCACATGGTGAAATTAGAAAACAAGTAATTCATTTTAAATTATAATCACTTAGGCAACACAAATAAAATAACTTGTTTCTCGGGCACCGCCCGCACGCAAAATTGGTTGCGCGTGCAGTCTATTTATTAGTCTTGATGAAAAAAAATAAATATGTAACGCCCGCCCGCACATCGACAAGCAAGTCGTAAAAAAAATATCCCGCATGTACCTACATCCGCCATACATGTATATCTATTCAAATGTATTAAAACTGATTCAGATGAACATGCTGTCTTTTTTATCCGAACAATGGCGAAGTTTGGCAGATTTGCCTTTTTTATTGATATCGAAAGAACCTCCATTTTGTATCACGTGATATTAATTACCTCCCCTGATAAACTAGAATTTGATTCGTGTTAAAAGTCATTGGCGACAATATTTCAATCATTCGATCGTAATCGGCTCATTATTGCCGGCTTCAGTCGGTCCTTGTTTGGAAAATCCTATTGATAAAATAATGAACCGTAGAACAGGTTAATTAATTATAGCTAAGAATACGATACGATGACGATAGTCGTCATAATGCATACCTTAGAATCTGGGTCATTATTAGCACATTTACGGTAGTTTCGATAATCCGGAAAATAATAATTGGATTACCGATTTGATGGTTTTACTGACCAGTTGTTAGTTAGATTTAAATAGTGATTCAATATAAACACCGGATAGAACACCGAATATCCTGAGAAACACACCGAATATCCCAAGAAACAGTATTTCCGGCAATCTCCAATACCGATGACACGGTGTGACATGCATTGGTTGGAATTCGGTAAATAATTATAAATAAACCGGCGATACTAGATTTAGTTTTAAATACTGTTTACCATGATTATTATTTTTGATACACCTGGTGAAAGAGGCTTAGTTTTTAAAAATATTGTTGTCTTTATGGAGGGCTATTACATAGTCGTATGGAATTTTATTTTAAACCAATTTCAATTATGTGAATTAAATATGGAAAATTATTTTCCTTTCAGTCAGTGTTCAGTCTCAGTGTTTTAGTAGACTTGATTTTGGGTTTATGTTTTAAGTATGTACAATAAAGTTGAATATAACGGAAAGCAAAAACGTAAACAAGTAATGACTTTCTCATTTAAAAAAAAAAAAAAGGAAAGACCGCCCTCCCGCCCCAACAATTTTCAGCAAGAGCGAAATATTATTATGCACCATCAATGAGTAAAAAAAAAAAAGAAACCGCCCTCCCTCCCTACAGTTTCAGCTGTCAGTTGCCCGAGAAACAAGACATTTATTTTGTGTGGCCTTATATAGAAAATTACAAAATATGTAAGGGTATCAATTGCAAGTAAAAGCATGTCATGCCTTGTACATGTCCCCTATCAATAACTTTTAACATTATTAGCTATGCCAACTTCTCGAATGTCAGATATTAAGAAAATTTTATCTATAATAAGAGCATATCCTATTTTTCACATATTTTATTAATCACAGAATTATCAGAAACTTTGTGTTCCTTTTAATTTTTCGAATCAATTTTAACTAGAGAGAGCTTGTTTCATCATATATTGAAATAACATTTTACATAAATCCAAATTGAATACATTGATACCTAAATATGGATTGATTTTATTTTTGCGATTTCAGTTTGACGTTAAATAAATTACGTCAAAAAAGAATGTTGGAAGAGAGATTGGCGTTAAAAAGAGCTCAACAAATGGATAAATTACAGCAAAAACAGATGATGGAAGCTCACGTAAACATAGATTTTATTATCTTTTTAGTTAGATATTGGAAATACGAGATATGCTTACAATACAGGGCTCACATTTTATTGCCGGACTGTCAGTCAAGTTTTACATGCCATGAAATTAGAATTTTAAAGTAATTTGGATGATATTTTCAATATATTCATTTTGTTGCATTATCTATTTTTGAACTATTACATTACACAAGAGTTTTTATATTTCTAGAAACAACATCAGAAATTTATTAATAATGGAGAAGAAGATGATGAAGATAGCCGAAGACAGGAGGTGATGTTGATGAAGAAACATGCTGAACAACGATTATCTGTATTGAATGGTCAGATGCTGAATATCGATGAAGAATTAGAGGAAGTGAGTCCAATTATTGTAGAAGAACATTCCTTTGGTGACGGAATGGTTAAAAGTGTGTGTGCTGGTTCATAAGGTCTGTTGTTGAGTCAATAAAGTGGCGTGGTTTTGATTCCCCACTTGTACGTGACAAGGAGTAGAATCGTCTGTCCAACCTAGTGGGTTTTCTCTGGGTGCTTCGGTTTCCTTCCACAGTTAAAGAACCCACCACGCAATCGAATTATTGAAATAAAATATTAGTCGATAATTGACGTTAAACCCCATTTCTCTCTCCCTTTCTCTCTTTTCAATTCTGTACCCTTGTTTCAGATATTTTATCCCTTGCTTGAATTTAGTATCTATGTTTCAGATAAGGATTGAAATGATCAGAGAAAGAGCTTTGGCTTTAAAAACTCAGGAAGAAAGATTGGGAACAATGATAGCTAGACTACAGCTTGAAAAAGCCAAAGAGGTGAACTAATTAGATTCGTATATATAACCATATTAGATAGTTTAAACAGCATTTAGTATTTGAACTGGAAATACACAGGAAATACAAGGATTTTCCTATCTGATAAAAGTACAAATCTATATTTCGTTTCGTTTACGATGGCCTACACTACATGAAGATCTGACCAGTTGTAGTGGAAGGTTGCGTCAGAGGTCATACGAGCGACTTTTGACCCTGTGACGTCAGACATTAACTAATCCATAGAAATATAGATTAATCAATCAGCGTTTCAAGGGGTTTACCCACAGGTCCATGCAGAGCATGCCAAAAACTCGCCGTAACAAACCGTTTCATTGGCTAATTTGTCATATCAACTAGAAGTTATATATAACAATTCTTCCAGATCCTAGTGTTGTGAAGATAAGTAAAACAAAATTTTGAACTATAAAAAACGAAGCAAAATTGGATCTGTGTTTTAATCAGGTTGAGGATTTTCCCAATATTAGTGTTTTTAACCAATTCATTATTGGCCACCAGCTTACTGCACCAGTTCATATTATAGTCTCTTGTAATAATAAACTGGGATCCAGATTCTGTTGAAAGTTAAAGTATTTTGCAATGACCAGGTGAACAGTGAACAGGCCACACGTCATGACAATTCTTTATTGGTTGTTGAGGTCTCATTTTTAATTAGTTACTGGTGTGATGGCCCACTGTCGGTCATTGTGTTCTCCTCTTTAATATAACATCTTGACCAGTGACATATCCAAGTGCCCCCTCCCCCTTAGATAACAGTGTAAAATAATCATTTCTTATTCTGTTTCTATGAAAAGTGTAAATTTGTTGTTGGTTGGGGTGATGTAGCTGATGCAATTTAATGTTATATTCGGGTCCAGGCATGCACCACAAATCACCATTGACACCCCGATTTTAGAAACATTACTGGTATATAAAGCCCCCCCCCCCCAAACAATTATCCTGCGTTCTCCACTGACATAGACAAAATGAAGTTTACTATGGATTTAAAGAACAAATCCGTTTATAAAGTATTTGTAAAAGATTTGTTGACTGATAATTGTATT